GAAGTATAGTTACAACGGCTGCCCCACCCTTCAAACCGAAACGCATTACTGCTTCACGGCAGAAATAAGCAGGGTGGTGGTACCCTACCCTACCCGCGCGGACTTTCTAGAGGTCCTACCACCAGTAATTCTTAATGTTGAGATAAATAAATGTGTATTTATATAAGGCAAAAGTTTTTTAAGTTGTTTGTTTTACGGTGAGTACAATATTTAAAGTTAGTAGAAAATAATCCCCAATACCTTTCCCTTATTTGAATTCTGGGTCAATCGTCCGTTGCATCTGAATATCCTTGGACTGAATGTTATGGATGACGTCTGTCGTGCTTTTGAATAAATATAGAAGGTGCCTGTTTATCCGCGATCCCAATACATTTCGATGATAATGTAAATGTGTAACCCGCGGGACGAACGGACTTCATCGAACACGAACGTGCAAATATGTATATATATATGTGCAAAATGTTACTTTTAACGTGGCAATGATTCTGTGATTTTATTTGATATTTTAATAATTTTAATCTTTATTTTAATTTATCTGAAATTCTAAAGTTCTATCGAAGTTGGAGATCCCGTGGTTCCTACTTAAATCAGATACATGGCCGTTTCCAGGTAATTGGTTAAATTGTTCATTAATTCAAGCATTCAATGCCTTTCTATCGTCATCACCGTTGATTCTAGTGCCCCAGGTGCTCGCCAGGTACAGACCCAGTCAGCCAGTCCATCCGCTATTCAAGTATTTTGAATTTATCTACTGGATTTTAACTGACTTATTATTCACATTGATATGATTCACATCTTACTTAACATGCTTAAATTACTATAATATAAACTCCTGGGATTGAGGAACCGATATTTGATACATATCCTCTACAAATTAATATTAGAAACAAAAAAGGAACAAAACTGCATCAGACCTAAGAGTATAAACAGTTTACGAGTAGTCAATCTTGAATCTAATAAATATTACAGCAGGATGTAATCAAAATGATAATGAAATCAAAAAGAAAACGCAGAAAAGTTGATTTACAAGAACATTGAAATGAGCGAACGTAACACTCGTATTATGCACATATTGAAGTTGACAAACAAACAAGTGACCCGACGTTCTCCTTCATTCGTCCTCTGTCCAGTAATGTTATTTTAAAGTATTCAATCGGCCACAGAAGACTGTGTTGTTTACACGCGAGCTGTTTGTTAGCGCCAGCCTCTGAAATTCGACCATGACTCGAAAACATTCCGTGAATTTCATATTCTATTATTTGGAGCCATAACATTGATTTTTTTCTTTATGGCTTAAATGCCGCAACATGTTTTTGAACAGACGCTTACCATATTTGATAATGTAGGTACACAGGTATATATTGGCTTAAAAAGGTGTGTTTGACATCTGTAGGTCGATGACGCTGTGCTTGTGATCATCCCGTGCGATAACCACTGAATTTCTCACCTGATCTTTTTAATGGATCGCGATTCCGACCCACTAGTAGATTCAGTGAAGCACTGCTCTTGCTAGGGCTAGTGTTAGCAATTTTCTCAGGTTGAGGCAGTGAGCTCACCGGTCCGCGAGAAGTTGGAATAGCTCGTTAGGCCAACAGCGATTAGGCAGGGAATATAGCCGCGCCCCAAGAAACAATGCGTTATATTAGGGTATTTTTCAGAAACCCTGTAATCTTTAGTGCCAAAGTTCTAAGCATCTGAGCCATTATACCTTAAATCGCTATTACATTAAAGCTATTTAAATCTCCATAAAGAATTGAGAGGATAGCGACGAATGAAACGGCCCCACACGACACACATATATATGTTTACGTGTAGTACAGCAAAGACACAGCTGTGCCCCTCGCGTTGATGATGTCCATGGGCCCAACTCGAGTGCGCTCGATGGACAGCAGTAACCACACACCGTTGGGTTGGCCCGATCCTGCTATGTCAAATAAGTCGAAGTCGTCGTAGCCTAAACGATAAGACGTCCGCTGCTTTCGTATCTAGCGATGCAACGATGTTCGAATCCTGCAGGCAGGTACCAATTTTTCTAATACGTACTTAACAAATAAATGTTCAAAATTGACTTCCACGGTGAAGGATTAACATCGTGTAATAAAAATCAAACCCGCAAAATTATAATTTGCGTAATTACTGGTGGTACCTCTTGTGGGACCGCATGAGTAGGTACCTCCCGCTCTGTCCTCTCGCCCCTCCTATTTAGCTTATTCGTCAACGATATTCCCCGGTCGCCGACGACCCAGTTAGCTTTATTCGCCGACGACACGACTGTTTACTATTCGAGTAGAAATAAGTCCCTTATTGCGAAGAAGCTTCAGTGCGCAGCCGTAGCCCTAGGACAGTGGTTCCGAAAATGGCGCATAGATATCAACCCAGCGAAAAGCACCGTAGTGTTAGTTCAAAAGGGAAACTCACCGCTTATTTCCTCACGCATTAGGAGGAGAAATATTACACCCCCTGATCACCCTCTTCGGCCAACCTATACCCTGGGCCAGGAAGGTCAAGTACCTGGGAGTCACCCTGGATGCATCCATGACATTCCGCCCGCATATAAAAACTGTCCGCGATCTTGCCGCATTTATTCTCAGCAGACTCTATCCCATGATCTATAAGCGGAGTAAAATGTTCCTCCGGAACAAGGTGACACTTTACAAAACTTGCATAAGGCCCATCATGACTTACTCGAGTGTGGTGTTCGCTCACGCGGCCCGCACACACATAGACACCCTCCAATCCCTACAATCCCGCTTTTTCAGGTTAGCTGTCGGGGCTCCGTGGTTCGTGAGGAACGTTGACCTACACGACGATCTGGGCCTCGAATCAATCCAGAAATACATGAAGTCAGCGTCGGAACGGTACTTCGCTAAGGCTATGCGTCATGATAATCGCCTTATCGTTGCCGCCGCTGACTGCTCCCCGAACCCTGATCATGCAGGAGCCAGTCACCGTCGACGCCCTAGACACGTCCTTACGGATCCATCAGATCCAATAACCTTTGCATTAGACGCCTTCAGTTCTAATTCTAGGAGCAGGCTTAGGGACCTCGGTAACCGTACTCGTCGAACTCGACAAAAAGGTCGACGTGCAACCTAACCCATACATCAGCCCGCTGAGTTTCTCGCCGGATTTTCTCAGCGGGTCGCGATTCCGATCTGGTAGTAGATTCATTCGCGAAGCAATTGCTCTTGAGTTGATAGGTCTCCTTCGGAGGCGCTCGGGCAGTTGTTAGCAAATCCCGCCCCTCTTGGCTGAGCCTTTGCTCGCCCAGCTGTCCTGGTGAAACTGGAAAGGCCTTCGGGCCACCAGTAATCTTTCAATCATAAAAAAAAGGGTAGGTACCACAGCCCCGCCTATTTCTGCCGTGAAGCAGTAATGCGTTTCGGCTTGAAGGGTGGGGCAGCCGTTGTAACTGTATTAAGACCTTAGAACTAATATCTCAAGGTGTGTGGCGCATTTATATTGTAGATGTCTATGGGCTCCAGTAACCACTTAACAACAGGTGGGCTGTGAGCTCGTCCACTCATCAAGCAATAAAAAAATAAGTCACTACAAAACCAACTTGCGCCATACGGGATTTTTAAAATGACATGTATTCTTATTTTGAATTAACAATATTTCTACCTATTTAATTCAGCAGACGTTGCACACTTCCCACAGAATATTATTCATATTATCGTTGCGATAATTATTAAGATTCAAATTTCGCACAACGCAAATATCATGTAACAATAATGCCTCGTCCTAACAAATTAACGATGGTTCTAAAATTGTTGTACTATAATAAAATAATAATTAGTTGAAATATCGTAAATATTAAACTAACGGGGCAGATTTTGTAAATAAATATTATATTTACCTACACTTGAATTTAAACATGGTATAAAAATAATTAATATACTCGGTCGCTCGTTACCAATCAACTTATTTATACGTTATACGATATATAAGTTGTACATGCTGTAAACTAGGTTCTGTACTGAATTTCACTCGCAATAACAAGATCGTGTCCAAACCCATCTAAGACTTTTTCTATTAACTCAAGCATCCTCTTTTTAGCACTACTGGAGCAACGTTAACCAATTTCGTTTGGATGATTCTTCAGCGTTTCTCAAAGAAAATGATTGCTATTAGTTTCGCCTACGTTGACTGTTTCATTTCACAAGAATACAAATTATAATCACAAATTTTTATTTTATTTCAATTACATATTCAAATTACAGCTTAACTGACAAGTAAGCAGAAGCAAGTGTGGATTCTTGTTTGTCAACGACTTCCTTTCCCAAGCAAATGCTTGCATTGCTAATGCAACTCTAAACCATTGACGTCTTTCATACGATAAGTAAGTTGCTGAGATTGAGTAATTCGGTAGGGCTGTCGCGAAACCCTCCGCAGATATTAATAATTATAAAATAATACTTTTGGGTACGATGTCTGTTGATGAGATATTTATACATTTAGCTGGAATGCAGGATACATAAAAACAAACGAAACTAATATTGTCACATAAAATGTTTGTCTACCCACATCAATGCATTATTCAATACAACAATACAATGAAATGCTTACAAAATGTATATATTTATGTATTGTACTATATCTGGTATAGATTTAGAGAAATTATGAATATTCGCTGCAAATAAGTAAAGAATATTCAGTAGAAAGTATGGCTGAAGCTTATTCAGGAAAAATTGAACTTTCTATTTTTTTATAATAAAATGGCAATCCAATTTAAAATTTTCAAACTCATGAAATTGAACGGTATTGTGCAAAAAATAAAACATAATTTTATGTAGCATGATTTTGCATGCAATAGCTTAGAAAACTTAACTGTGGTATATCTATCCATCCCATTTGTGCATACAGTGCCTGCCTACTAACGCCCGGTGCTCGTTGCACTTACGTCACAGGGGTGAGGTTGCGGCATTTTCCACTTTATGCAGTAAAGGTATAGAATATTAATTAGCGAGGTCGGTGTGCAGTGTACGTGTGTGTTCCAGGAGAGCGCTGGGCCGGCGGCGGGCGCGCAGGCGCGACGCAACAGTTATATCCCTGACGAGTGACGGTCCCGCGTCCTCACTCGCGGCCCGATCGTCTCCTAGTCTGGACGCGACTCGTGAAACCCAGAAGTTACGCTATTGCCGCGCGCTCTCAGCTTCTACCTTTTGCCTTCTTTCATGTAAGTACTCAAAATTACTAGTTTTTTTTTAGTTTCAGGTTTTATTTAATTTTTTTTATTCTAATATTTATACATGCTGATTACAAGAGTTTTTCAATTCTAAAGTAATTTCTTTTTATATTTCTATATGCTAAGTACTTTCCTTGAAAAACTTTTTAAGTATGTATATTTATGCGCGTGTGTGCGTGTTTTCAGGTCTTGTATCTTCGCGTATTTAGATTTATTTGTTTAAACAGCGTTTTCAAAGAATGTGTTATTTTTAAGAGCTAATAAATTATGACGGCTCTAAATATTTCGCACTGTTACTGTGCTATTATTTAGAAATTATCTACAAAAGTTACTTGAACAGAAATTTAGAATTCAGTCACAAAACAATTTCGTGTAGTTAAAATTAGAAGAAAAAAAAGATTACCAAGAAAAATATAACAAAGGTGCGGTTGAAAACATATTAAACAAAAAAATCACAATTCCTCTTAATAGCGGTAGCTTTTTACTTGTGACGATCACATGAATAATTAAAAATACTTTGACATGTATCTTTTGCGTATAAGCATTGAAATTATTAGAGTTTTTTTGCATAAAACAGATCGGAGTGTACCTCATTAAAAAAAGTTAATTTGCTGTTATTATTTAAAGTTCAGATTTGCAGTTTTTTTCGATAAAACGTATAGGATTTGTCTGCAAATACAAATACAAATGCAAATCTATTAATTCAATTAACAAAAGTAGCCGGCAGATTAAGCTGACGATTCTCAGTAAATAATAAAAGATACTTGAGTAATACAACAATTATAGAAACGGACGTCGCAACGGTTGATTTTTTAATTAAAAACATATTGCTAAAGAAATATAAGACTGTAAATTATCAAGGAAATTTAAAGTTTGTAACGACGGACTTTCAATGATTCCTTAGGATATCACCATATCAAAAATGAAAAGTTATGTGGATAATAATTGATCTAATAGGTTGATTCTTCTTCTTCGTCGCTTTCTTCATTGCTGAAGGTCGTGTCCCTGAAACTCGACCGTTGCCTGTCTCGTGAGCTGTTTCCATCTCGTCCGGTCCTCAGCTGCTCGAATGGCGGTTGCGACTGGCAACCCACTTAGAGCGGTTACTTGATCACACCAACGGCTAGGTAATCGGCCGCGGGGTCTCTTTCCTTCTACTTTGCCCGTCACAATCACTTTGTCCAAGTTATCTGACTGTCGGCGGGCAATATGACCGAAGTAGCTGAGGATCCTCTGGTAACAGATTGTTGAGAGCCTGACTCGGATGCGAAGCTGATCCAGGATAGATTTATTTGTCCTCTTGGCCGTCCACGGAATTCGGAGCATTCGTCTCCAGCACCACATTTCAAATGCATTTATTTTCTTGCGCTCGGATGCCTTAATTGTCCAGGACTCTGCCCCGTAGAGAAAGATTGAGAAAACTAAGGTTCGGACGAGTCTCATTTTCGTGACGTTAGAGACTTTGCGATTTTGCCATATTCGTTTGAGCTTGGTCATCGCTGTTTTGGCCATCTGCGTCCTCCTCCTTATCTCTCCCTCACTGCCTCCGCGGTCGGTCAGTAAGGACCCGAGGTATATGAACTCGCTGACGAATTCTAGATCTGATAGCTCTCCAGTTCTAGAGAGTTGACTGGTTCTGTCCACTATCATGACCTTTGTTTTGGACTTATTAACGGAGAGCCCCACCAAACTACTCTCATACTCCACTCTACGGAATAGGTCAGCAAGCTCCTTCTCAGATGACGCGAAAAGCGTGGTATCGTCCGCATATCTCAGATTGCTAATTTTTATGCCACCGACTGAGATGCCCCCCTCCCACTCCTCTAAGGCTTTTCTCATTACATATTCTCCATACACATTGAAAAGAATAGGAGAAAGTATGCACCCCTGTCGCACACCTTTTTCCGGCTTAAAAGGTCCCGAGATGACGTCATTCACTCTAACCATAGACACACCATCCCGGTAAAGGCTAGCGATCAATGATACTAGATGTTGAGGTACGCCCATTTCCCGCAGAATTCTCCACAAACAGTCCCACCGAACACAATCAAAAGCTTTTGTGTAATCTATGAAACACAAGAGTATTGGCATGTTAAACTCCCGACTTTTCTCAATTATTTGCCTTACATTTTTTAATAGGTTGATTACTAAAAGAAAATTACGACTGAAATAATTAAATTTAACTTCTGTTCATTTATTTATTATAAGTTACACAGAAACAAAACAAAACTTCATGTAACTTTCTATAATAATGAATAATTAGGGGCTATTTTCTGAAAAATATTTTTTTTTAATCTCTCGTATTTACATGAACATCAAGCGCAGAAGGGCGCGTGGGCGGGCGGGTGCTTCAAAAATGAAATATAATGAGTTAAGGACTTCATTGGCACCTAATCATTTATATTTAAATTCCATCATTTCTCACGTATTCATCAATTATAGAGAAGAATCATTTACTGTATTCAGTATTTTTAGTAAATCTCATCTGATTACCTAGTCCCAAACTAGGATTTCTAATATCGGGGAAACCAGAACTGTTCTACGTATTACATATAGAGATTATGTATATACACAATGTAGTTATTAAACATTAAGACGGATAGAATAAGCCGTTCACACAAATGTTTATCAGAAGGCTAATATGTTTTAAAGCTTTTTAATGGAACGAGAAAATAAGAAATGAATTAAGTTCCCGTGATTATACATTGTATCAGGACAATATTGTAGTAAGCTTGTCAGAGTACCGCGCGACTCGGCTATAGCGTCGTGTTTTGTTCTACCATGAAGCCATTGTGCCTGCCAGGTCAAACGGTCACACAATAACTATTCAATGCCGTTGTGGCTTTAAGTTGTAAATGAAGGGAGGTTACGTCCCACCTAATGTTAAGTGGTTGCAGTCAATCTTGAGTACTGATGTAACTAGGAAAACAGCCAAGCCGCTTGAGGAACTTTGTAAATGGGAATTCATGGAAACCCAGATAGTGTGGGGAAAAATTAGTTCAGGACGCATAATTTGAATGAATGAAGCATTTCTAGTTAGTAGGGATAAGGTCTGGGGACGGCCAAAGCTCTTGTAAAGTGAAGACAACAGGAGAATCTCCAGAAAATTCTCAGAATGGTCCTAATAGAACATTACAACATATTATGGTCTCAGGATGGGTGTCAGCTACGAGTATCTGCGACATTTGTTACATCCATATTATGGCCTACCACATTGCGTATGATCCTTCAGTGCGCATTTGTTCGGGGTGTTTTTATTGGTGATAGGACGCGTTGTGAGCCCGCATCGTTAGACACCACGACCCTGCCTATTTCTAACGTGAAGCAGTAGTGTGTTTCGATATTTTGTTCGATACGGCTATTGTTTGCTGTGAAAGCTTTTTTTATGGCTATTACGGGTAGACTAGCATACGACCTACCTGATAGTGAGTGGGTAAGTGGTCACCGTCACTCATGGACGTTCAGCAATACTAGAAGCAGAGTCAAGCCGCCGCCTACCACTTGGCACTCTCCGCAAGCCTAGTTGGATGGATTAAGGACACATAGCATTCGGTAAACTCTGTGAATGGGGGTTCATTTTAAAGCCTGTACGTGGCAGAAAAGATCTCTGAAAACATACTGCAGATGAATTCAGTGGTTTCAGGTAGTACGGATGAGCTGTGGTGGTAGCTTAGAAATCATGTTTCAAGATGGGCGGCGGCATTTTCGTTGTTATAGTTGACTATGGGCTCCGATAACGACTTAACACCAGGTGTGCCGTGAGCTCATTCACTCAAAAAATCGTACTAATTCGGATTTATAAAAGAAATACGTTGAACAAAAATCTAAATATTATAATTCTCGTGTGACGTAATTTTATTAAAGTTCGTATTTTTCTTCGTTTTTTTCATGGAATATTACTTTGGTTGATTCTCACGATAACGAAGTATGAGGAGAAACAGTATAAACTATTTTAAAAATAATATTGTGTTTATTGTTACTATACGTTAGAAATTAATGGTAAATTCGGATGTTAGATAGTTTTATTTTTTGGTATTGTATCGAGATTTATCTCTTTCTCTCTCTCTCTTCGCTATGTATCGCACGTGGTGGCGGGGTCAGCTTTCTTTATTTTTTTCCTCCAGTTCGCTCTGGCTTCGTCATCATCGTCAGTAGCATTCCATTCCCTCATGCCCTCCAGCACTACATCCTTCCGCCTTGTCTTTGGTCTTCCTCGAAATCTCCGATCGTGTAGGTCAAGCAGCAGCAGATCAATTTCTGGTGTAGTCTGGTGGCGTCCTTTACACGTGTCCATACCATCTCCGCTTACTTTTCTAAATCTTGTCGGCGATCTCCCTCGCACTCACTTCAGATTTTGTCGAGCCTGGTCACACCGCACATCCACCTCAGCATCTTCATTTCGGCAACTTGGATGGTAAGCGCGTTCTTTTGGATTGCAACCCATGTTTCGCTACCATACATACATTGTACCGAAATTTATACAATTTATGAATATGTAATAATATAATTTATTTTGAATTTTTTATTTAGCAAAGGTGTGGAAGCAATAAAAAAATAGGTATAAATAATTAACCATTTCAATATTTTTTTTATGAAATATTAATATTAGATTTCAACCTGTATATAATGAAAAAAATATTTCTTATATCAGAAACCTATTTTACAATATATATTTTTTAAATAAATAATTACTTACTTCGGTTAACAAATCAATGAGCTACGAGTATTAGCAAAAATTACAAATTGAAAACTGAACAAGAAAAATCCACAAAAACTAATTAACGTAATTTCAATCTCCGAACATACCAATTATCTTGTCATGACCGATAAGGGGCGATAAGTTTTCAAGGTGCTGTACTGTTTTTCCATAAATAGCGCGTTTCTTGGTGAAATTGGCGAAGGAAGACGGAATCTGCTCGTTACGTGTCAATCATAATGATGTATTGAATAAACCTCTTCATATACCTTAATTTCGGAGCCTTCAGTCGATA